TCATGGAGCTGGACCTCCAGGACCGCTGTCCGAGGGGTATCAAAAATGGTCAGTTGCAGCTGAGAATCTGATGTTATCTCGGTCCTGCCAGGAGTCCCTTGGGGGACAAAGAGGTCATGGAGTCCAGTTAAGAATGGGAAAACTTGGCAGGAGAGGTCCCCTTCGGCAAGGCTTTGCCTGTCCCACGCTGGCCTTTTGGTCTTTTGTTTCCTCCAGGCTGTATGATTTGAAAGTTGCCCTGAAGCGAGGAGGAACCCAGCGCCTTTCTGCCCTCAGGAATGTTTTAATTCAGCGAGCCGACGAGGTCGGCCACCACATCACCGCCTTGGTGAACGCCAAGCAAGCCCAGGTCTGGGCTGAGCGTCTGAAGGACCCCCCCCTTGACCCCACCTCTGTTGATGTTATGCAGGAAGGGTTGGAACCCATCCTTCGTCGTGCGTGGACGCAGGCTCGAGAAACTGGACAAGGGTGCATTAAGAAGTGGTTGTCTGAGGGGCTCAAGGGGGGAGCCAAGCCCATTCATCAGTGGTTGAAGCACGGTTCCAAGCAGGAAGTTGAATTCCTCATTGACCAAGGTAACGTGGCCCAATCCCCCACCGAAATGCTTAGAGTGCGAGAGCTGTTCTGGGAGAAGTGGTGGACCCCATCCAGTAGCCAGATCGATTCCCTCGTGTATAGCATGGGTCAGCTTAGACACGAGGCGGCCGTTGAGGCCACGGGTTTAATCCCCATCCAACCGCAGGACATCGCGCGGGTTTGCAAGTATTTCCCTGCAGGAACGAGCCTTGGAGTCGACAGTTGGTCGCCTAAGGATATTTTGCAGCTGCCGCCAGAAGCTCTACAGGACCTGTGTGACCTTTTCAATGCGTTCGAGTATACCCAGAGTTTCCCCGTCCAGGTGTACTTGTGTCTTGTGGCCCTGATCCCTAAGACTGTGAGCTCGGAAAGGCCTATCACCAAGTGCCCCACCCTGTATAGGATGTATACTAAACTCAGGGGTGACCGTATTTTGGACTGGACTGACTCCCATGTTGCGTTTTGGGATACCGCTGTTAAAAACTCCTCGGCCCTGAGAGCGGCCATGGTTCGCGAGTTGGTCCACGAAATCGCCCGTGAAGAAGGATGCCAGTCCCTTTCGGCCCACTGGGATATGGAAAATTTTTTTGACTCCATTGACCCCTCTAAGCTGGTCAGGCTGGCCAGAGAGGTTGATTATTCCGCCCTCATGCTGTACATGGGGCTGCTGATCCACACCGCCCCCAGGGTGCTTGAGGTGGAATCTGTAGTGTCTCGAGTCCTTGGAGCAGGACAATCAATCCTGGCAGGGTGCTCCCAGTCTATGCCGTGGATTAAATGTTACTTGTATGACATCTTGGAAGCTGCCCACCAGAGAATCCCGAAGGTCCCCATCTTTGCATACGTTGATGACTTAACCCAATCCCTTCAAGGGAGTGCTGAAGCAGTTGCTCATAATATTGTCCCAGCTATCGTTGAGTTGCACCAAGCTCTGGTTGACAGAGGATGTGT